ATCCCAATTCAATAAGAAAATAAATTTGTAACTTGTGCCATTTATTCCACAAACCTCAGCACCTTGACAGTGCATTCATTATTGCAGTTATTTAAAGGAAATGACTGCTTCATATCTTAAACATAGACAAGTCTTGTAAAGAAGCCATCTTTCTGCACTCAATAATAATCTGTTCTTTCTGATTGTACAGGTTTCCTTGTGAATACTGATTGACTGCCCAGATTTATTTTGATGTTAGGTTTTTGCTGCTTCAGTTGGTACAGATCCAAGCAGCTGACAGCAAAAATATCAACCTTGTCAACAGTATAAATTGACATGTAAAGAAATAGGCACATCTTAATAACATCAGTTCCACTTTAACCTCATCAGGTTAGCCTTAGCCTCATCATCAGTCTTAACATCATCACCTTAACCTCCTTATATACTATATTAATAGTGCAGCCAGTCACCTCAAGTGCAGTCAGTTCTCACACCACAACCTCAAATGCTGGAAAAGCCAGGTTTTTAACTTCCTATATATCAGGAATTGAGGTACAGGTTTTATATCAGTTCCACCAGATGGGAATCTCTGCAGAAAATTCTTGCCTTCAGATCCTCTCTCATCTTTTCTCGTGTGGGGTAGGAGTTCCCAGCAGATGTTCTGGTTTTCCCTAAAACTTTTGCACATCTCTGGCTTTTATCAACAAAAGATGATAAAAGCCAGAACAGCACATGGATTTTTAAAATAATATAAAAAATATTATTTTGTAGAGTTACCAGTTAAAGCTTTAAACATTTTGGATTTTCCCGGTTGTGAATGTGCATCCTTCAGAATGGTGTCCGTTAAATAAAAGTTCGTTCTTTCAAAAAATGCAAAGTCTGCTATAAAAATCATTCATGGTACAAGAATCTGTCATGACATTCCACTAGAATTATCCTCTTCATCTTTTTCATAGTGGAGGAACGTTTCTCTGATAGTGTTTATTAGATGCAAAACACCAGTTTTCTTAATATTGAAGAATGTCAGTGCAGTCAAATGCTGGTTCTCTTTCAAAGCATGGCTTGCAGATTGTGATCCAAGCTAGAGAACCTGTGCTGTTTTTTCCTTCCTATCTGGCATTAATTGTGTTTTGTCACTGCATATAGATCATGCTCAAAATTACTATTTCAAGCTGCGTCAGTGGGTAACTGTATTGATATTAATGTTGTGATATTAATGGGAAGGAATTCATGTTTGATCTTCCAGCTGCTTTCAGACTGACAGGCCAGGGAATCCCTGTGACATTTTCTGCTAAACCCCTGTGTAGCTTGAACCTTGTTTGCAATGGTTGTTCTTCCCTTATAGCACCATGGCAAGTCCAAGAACAAGGAAGGTCCTTAAAGAAGTGAGAGTGCAAGATGAAAACAATGTAAGTAGTTTGATTTACCTTCTCAACCACATATGATTAAGCAGCAGTGAATCAGTTTCAGCTCAGGTTAGATAATTAATGCATATGGTTCTCGTATTACCATGCAAATTGCTGGACCAATTTGCCACAAAGTATTGGTCCCTGTGATTAAACTGCATGATTCATGCTTGTTTGCAAGACTGTTTCTGAAAACACCAAATTCTTGCTTATAAACACCGGTAATCTATTTTTTTAGTTCTGTTAGACACAAAGTAGTTTACGGCTATAAATAAACAACAACCATCCCAATTCAATAAGAAAATAAATTTGTAACTTGTGTTCACCCTGACGTAATAGTAAGTCATTAAAATAAATCAGAATCTACTCCTGAAGAATGAACAGGATTCATGTGCAACAGGATTGCGCTGTAGAAGAAATTTTAAATAGTGGGATCAGAGGTATTTAGTATTCAGGATGCTTTCCTGTACCTCCTTACTTGGAAATAAACACCACTAAACAGTTGCACTTACAGTGATACTATAAGAGCAGGTATAAACAAACTTGAAAGACTGAAGTCTGTCCTACTTGTTGGAAAAACAGCAAGCTCAGAGATAGGATGAAGGTTCCATATTTGGGGAACTACCATTAAAAAGTTCTTTCGGAGGTCAGATGGATGACAGCAGGAGAAGGTTGAAGGCAGGGGCGTCTGTAACTAGTTGTGATATCAACAAAATGATGAAACATGTTGTGACATCCCTATTCATTCAAGTTCTGCTCCTTACAAGTATGAAAGGGGTGGAATTTGTGTTGCAACATCACAACATGTGCTCGATCCTCCATGGATACCCATCTCGTGAGGCAGGAAGAATGTTTTTGAAGGAAATTTTAATCTTCAGAAGTTTCCCTGAAGTAAAGTGTTTTTAAAAATTCTGCCAAAGCACTTTATCCTTTAAGGACATTTGTTTTGGAATGTGCGGACTTGAAATATTTGAGCTGGCATAAGTTTGGCTTACCTTCCGTTTTTAATATGAATCACTGATTCTCTGTATTCCACAGAATAACCTCCTGATACTACTCCAAATAAAACGATTTTGATTGGTGAGCATTCTGTGGCTAATCTAGAGAATGTTTAAAACTACCAAAGAATTGCTATAAATGTGTGGAATGACTAGTAAGTAGGAGAGTAGAAATAATCTCTATGTGGGTGGCTTGAGTTAGTAGTATACTACATTTAATATGTATCCCACAAGTTAGAATTTGATAATATGCATTCCTGTATACTATCACTGAATTTTCTGAGGAATGTACACCAGTTCTGAATATGTCAATGGAAAACTAATACTTCATTGTAGTAGCATTAATCTTCCTACTAACCAGTGGAACAATTTCTTTATGTTTCTCCTTCTCTCATCCACCAGTAATTGTGTTTTTGTTCTAATTTTTTTAAAATGTCAAGTTGATTTCCTGCAGCGCCTCCAGATTTCAGCAGATGCTTCCTTAATCCGCTTGCCAGAATTGTTTCCGATATGGAAACAAAGCAGGCGTGGCATTGATTCTCCAGAAACTCAACCCACATATAGAAGCATTGGAAGCTTCAGATTTGATGCAACTAAATAAGTCTCAGGGTATAAATTGTAGGCCGTTGTCATCTGCCTTTTCAATGCAATGGGCTTGTTTCTGTTCTTTTTTCAGTCTTGAGCATAAATTTATCTGGCCTGAGAAGTGCTGATTTCCAGGATATGAGGGTGATCTGGCTGCAACATCTACCACCCCATTGATTGCCAGTGTTGATTTGGCTGATCTGGCTGACTGGGGCAGGGGTATCCCCTTCCTCGCTCATTGTTCCATGTGCACGCCTCCTGAAGCTGCGCACTTGGTGGAAGAGGATGACCATCCCATATAGGAGTGTCCTGATTCCCACTTCTCCAGCATCAGCCCTCACATTTTCATGGCAGCCTCATACGGAGATTTCAGGGGTTCATAACCCATTTTTTGAGCATCACATAAAAGTTATTAGCATTTTTGCCAGTGCTAGTTGTACAGTGTATGAATAGTATATTTTCAGCATTCTTTCTAAAGTTTAGATACCTGAGCCCAAAATCCCACATGGGAGACATTGTATTCTCTTATTTTAGATGCTTGTTATCTTGTTGTTCATTATAAGCAATTTACAGCAAATGCTAATCCTAACTATTCTGACATGCCATTGATAAAGCTTTATTCTTCTGGGTCTTGTCTAAATTTGTCATTGCCTTCCTCCCTGGGATTAATTTCCTCTAGTTCATTGTCAACCTTCATTAATACTCGAGCCCAAGGAAAACGATCACTTTCACTTCTTAGGGTCAGCTGTGTTCACTAAACATTCTGGCTGATGTTCCCTTTGCTTTTTTAATGTTTGAGTTTTTCACTTTCCATTTTTGCTTTAACGACCTCTTCTAAATATTTCAGTTAACAAAGCGGTAACACATTATTACTGTTGCAACCTCTAGTTTTGATTCCGGCTATTATTTCTTCTAATTCTTCCATTCTTACAAGTTAAGTTAAATCTGGGAACAATATGCAACCACATTTTACTCCCTTCCCTGTTCTGAATCATTATTTTCCAGCTATTTTTGAGGGTGGCATCTTGTCCATTGTATACATATTTCAGAAGAATAATTAGATGTTCTGGCATGCCCGTTAGCTTTTACATGTCCTATAGCTTGGCATGATCTATACTAGTGTTTCTCAAACTTGGCAACTTTAAGATGTGTGGACTTCAACTCCCAGAATTCCCCAACCAGCACTCTGGGAGTTGAAGTCCACACAACTTAAAGTTGCTAAGTTTGAAAAACACTGATCTACACAATTAAAGAACTGAGCTAATCAGTAAAAATAAAGTCAGTAAATAAAAATTAAAAGATAAACTTCCCTTTTAAATTTTCTTGCTCTCTACATTATGCTTTTTGATGCTAGCTGTATGATTTTGTGTCCCTCTGCCTTTTCTGAAACCTTTCTATTTGTTTGGCATTTCTCTCTCTGTGTATGGCTGTATTTTTTGTAAGATCTTTATAATTCTGTTGTTTTTTCTTTCTTCGGTATGGGCATACCCATGATCTTTTTCAGTCTCCTGGCCACTATATTTGTTGATATAGAACTGTTAGCACTTTAACTGCCTTTTCTCCTGCAGCTTTAAGCAGTTCAGTGAATAGTTTGTTCATACTGGGTGATTTGCTATTTGACAGCTGCTGTGTTGTTTTTCCTGTTTCACTTTCTAGTGCAGTCTTTCTCTATAGATGTTTCTATCATTCTGTAATCCTGTTTGTAATAAGCTTTAATATAAACTTTTTTGGTCTTCATTTATCATATTTTGCCTCTATTGAATCCCTTCCGTGATAACCCTTGAATATTCCTAGCTGTAAATTTTCTTTTGATTTCTCATATCTTCTTTAAAAATGATTGTTGTCCTTTTTTGTTGTTGTTGCTGTTTTATTCTACTTGCTAGCATTCTTATCGAGATATCTTTCCATGTTGATTCTTGCTAGGTGTTAAGCTAAGTCTGTGTTCTTTCTTATTGCCCAAAGCTTTCATCTTCCATCTTTTCCTAACTATTGTGATAATTTCTTCTGAAAACCACTTAGATCTTTTTGTCTTTGAAATTCTGGGCATATTTTTTCTGTTTGCTTGGTTTATTTGCTGCCTTTTTTCTAGGAGCTCAAGGTGATACAGTATATTCTTTCCTCTGTGCGGTAGGTTGGGCTGAGAGTGAGTGACTGGCCCAAAGCCACCAAGGGAGCTTTCATGATTAAGGATAGACTTGAACCTGAGTCTCCCCAGCCCTAATCCAGCTACTTAACCATTACATCTTGGGGGTTTTCTTCTGCTTTGGTTTCACAGCATCTGCCTCTTTCCATAATTCCTCATATTCTCTTTCACATACGTTAAGTGTACTGAATCGGTTCCTTAGATTGATCTTCTGCTCTGACCATATGTCTTGCCTGCTGTCTCAGTTGTCTAGTTTTAACCCATACTTGATATAAATAATTCATAGTCTGTTCCAGAATCTTCACCTGTATGTATCCTGGCTGATTGGATTAGATTTTCCATCTTCTGTTTCCTGTTAAATTGTCAGTTTGATTCTGATGGTGTCCAGATGTAGTGTCTGCTTTTATGTTGTTTGAAGCAGTTTTCTGCTATAAACATTGAATTCTCTTCACAAAACCTATTTCCTTCATCACTGCATCTACCTGTTACTGTGTCGTCGTCGTCATCATCATCATCATCATCATCATTTTTATAATTATTACCTGCTCAAGGTGGCATACATAATGGTCCCATCTCCCATTTTCCCTACAACAACAATCCCGAGAGGTGAATTGAACTAAGAGAGAATGACTGGCCAAAGTCACCCAATCAGCTTCTGTGGTTGAGGATGGACTAGAATTCATGATTTCCCAGTTCTACCACCTTAACTGTTACATCAGGTTGTCTGTCTGTCTGTCTCTCCCTCCATATCTTTTTGTAATTCATTACTTCAAGGTGGTGATTCCCTGGGAGAGTCTGAGCTATGTTAATAGACAGATTTAAGCTTGATTTCTCCTAATAGCATTTTTATGAACAATGCTTGTGTTGAACCTTTGGTTACTGTGGAAAACTCAAATTATCTTTTTCCCCCTTCTCTTTGCAGGTTTGTTTTGAGTGTGGTGCATTTAATCCTCAGTGGGTGAGTGTGACCTATGGAATTTGGATCTGTCTGGAGTGCTCAGGAAAACACAGAGGCTTGGGGGTTCATTTGAGGTTTGTCACTGATTATGATAATACATCTGCATTAGTAATGCAACAAAAATGTTGCTCACTATTAATTTCATTGTTTTTATTTATTGAAAAGATGTATATGGGTGCCCATCTTATGGAGCATAACCCTGGGTGGGTTAGAAACAATAAAAACATAAAGTCAGCATCAAAACTCAGGTTACCCCAAAAACAACATACCCCTTACATCTCCAAACAACTTTACTGGGTTCCAGCCTCACACTGCACAAGGCTTGTGGGAAAAGCCAGATCTTCGAGGCTTCTTCAAAGGCCAGGAGGGTGGAGGCCTGCTGGATCTCAGGGGAAATGGTGTTCCAAAGGGCAGGGGCCACTACTGAGAAGATGTACTCCCTGGGTCCTGCTGGATGGCAACAGTTAAAGGAAGGAACCTGAAGTGCGCCCACCCTATCTGAGTTGGCAGAACAGGCAGATACCCTCAGGGAGAGGCAGTCCTATAGGAACCTGGCCCTGTACCTTCAGGACTTTAAAGGTGATAACCAGCACCCTGAATTGTTGGTTGTGTAGTTATTTGATAATTATTACTTTTGCTATTGATAACAAAGTCCCAGCTGATTCTTCACTAACGTTCTAGATGGCAGTGATCACATAATGCCATCTTGATGGAACTGGGGACAAAGGACAGATCTTACATGTATCAATGATACCTGGCTGGATGAAGAAGGATGAGTTCCCTTCACAGAGATCTGTCCAGCCAGATTTCACTTGCAGGACTGCCTTTATTCTGTTGTTTCTGCCTGCCCCACCAGATCTAGAAGAAAGGACATGCTCCAGGTCCCTTCTATTAAACAATGTCACCTTGTTGGACCCTGCAGTCATGCCTTCTCAGTGGCAGCACCTGCCCTGTGGAACAGCATTCCTCCAGAGATTTGGATGGCCCCATCCCTGATAGCCTTTCCCAAGGTATTGAAGACTTGGCTATTTTCCCAGATATTTGGGTCAGGGAGTAGATTACCGTTGCTATTATTGATGGTGAGTGGAGTCAACAGTTCATTCTTGAGTGCTGGGAGGGGTTGTGTGGTATCTTTGGTGGTGTTTTAATCTTGTAAGCCACCCAGAGTTGCTGGCAGTCAAGTGGCATATAAATATAAATTATTATTATTAATTATTAAAACATTTTACATCAATCTTGAACCTAGATCAGGGAAGATGGTGTAGCAATTGTTTACTGGGAGACCCTAGTCTTTTAAGGAGCATTGTTCTGCATGTAGCCAAATGCAAGGCCTTGCTCATGATGCTGGGCCAAAGGGACATGCCATGAATGCTCCTGTTGGACCACGATTCTGTCAGTTGCATGGTAGCATCATTCACTGGGCTGCTTGATCACATTGCAGGGGGGGTTGTAGGTTTGCCCAGATTGCTAATACTGGGTGATTTCAACCTCTCCTCTCTGGCATCGGAGGCGGCCCTGGAGCTCATTATTTATTATATTGATTTATATAGCTGCCCATCTTGCAATTAGACCTCTGGGCAGTGAATTCATGATTAAAAAAAACAACAGAACAGAATAAATAATGCTAAACAACAATAACACAGTGGCACCTGAGGACAATCAAACCCAAAACACACAATCCCAATGATTTAAGCAACAACAACAACCCACAGTGACAGGCTCACCCAACCTACAAGCCCGTGCTCAGGGGAGCATCCAGTTCTTCAAGGATTTGGGATTTCCCAAGTAAACACTGGTCTGACTCATGTGATAGGTCACACGTTAGATCTGGTGTTCAGCTAGGAGTGGATGTGTCATGTTCTGGTTCTGGGCGAGTTTTCCATCAGTCTGCTGTCATAAATAGATAACGTCTTTTTGAGAATAGGGTAAATTAGAGCTATCAACCTCTAAGATGGCCCACCCAGACATCTGATGGATCTCTCAAACTTCTTTGCAGTGCTTGGGGAGTGTCCCAGTGTTCTAAAGAACTATTCTGTTGGGCGCCTTTTTACTTCTGGGGATTCAGTATCTGAAGGCTATCAACGTGTGGATGGGGAAAAACAGGATCCGAATCAATCCAAAGTAGTTGGACTAACTATAGATTCGGAGGCTATCTGATTCCAGGATAGCATCATCTTTGACTCTTGATGCTGTTATGTTCCTCAGAAAGAGCAGGCTTACAAACTGGGGATCCTTCTGGACTCTCAGCTCTTGCTCTAAGAGCAGATAGAGACCATGGCCGGAAAGGTCTTTGCACGGCTTCAAAGACGTACCTGGAACAGGATGCATTAGATATGGTCACTCGTGCCCTTATCTCGAGATTAGATTATTGTAACTCACTCTACACGGGGCTTGAAGACCACTTGAAAACTTCAGCTGGTCCAGAATGTAGTGGCACGCAAGCTCAGTGGTCAGTCACAATACTGCCATGGTACACTCTGCTGCGGGGGCTGCACTATTTATGAGTCGATTTCTGAGCGCAAGTCAAGGTGCCAGTTGCTACCTGCTAAGCTGTATGTGGCTCAGTTTCTGTCCATCCTCCGTAAGCAGATACGGAGCACCTGCTAAGAATCCCATCCTACCAAGTGGTAGGGTGGAAAGGGCTGAGCAACAGGCAATCTCTATAACACCTCCCTCCTTTGAAATAGCTCCTCCTCCCAGGTGAAGCCATGCCCTCACAGCCTTCTGACAGCAGGTGAAAACATGACTCTATACCAGTGGCGCATATTCAATAGATTCAACACATTGCTTTTAACATCAGTCAAAATGTAATTGGTTTACTGGTAGTTGACATTTGATTGACTTCTGTTTTTATGTAAATTCTGTAAGCCACCTAGAGTCCTTGCACTTTCAAGCAGCAGATAAATCTCAAATGAATAATCAGTGTTCAAGGTGCAGTTATAGGTTTTGTGAATTCCTCTTTGCAAGTCCATCCAGAGGTCTCCTCCCTGAGACAGTGGGCATCTCTGTTGCCATTGCTCCACTCTTTCCCCGAACAGAAAAGGACAGCTGTTAGCTCTAGAGCTGGTGATGTTATTCACCTTCCTTTGGAAGCATCAGGAGTGGGAAGAAAAGGAAGAAAAAAAAGCCATTCCTTTCTATGCTTTCTATCCTGGCTTCTCTTCTGTTAGTCCGTGGGATAGTTTTGCTTGAGTGCAAATTCAGTTCTGCTGTTGCTTTGCCCTAAGAGTTTGGAAATCTTTGTTTCAATGCTGATTACTGTACTGGTATAATAAGAAGCTGTTGAATTGTGGCTTTCAGTTTTGTGCGCTCTGTTACAATGGACAAATGGAAAGACATTGAACTGGAGAAAATGAAGGCTGGTGGTAACCTTAAATTCCGGGAGTTTTTAGAGTCTCAAGATGATTATGATCCTTGCTGGTCATTGCAAGAGAAGTACAACAGCAAAGCTGCAGCCCTCTTCAGAGATAAGGTAAATCCAATTAAGCATAATTTCAACCTTCTTGGACCTTGATTATTTCGAAACCTCAGTCTATGATTCTGCATTTCTATGAATATTAACCTGTTAAGATGAGAAAGAGACTGATCTACAGCATCAGAATTTCTCTTTTGGCTTCTGCAGTATATAACTTTTGACAAATAGAACACCAAGTTTAGCTTAGATTATTACGAAGGGTGTGCATGAAACAGAAAAAGTGTCTTGTTGCACGCTTGGAACACTCAAAATGCAACCTTTCGGATTGAAACATTTTGAGTCGGAAATAATTTGAACATCCCTACTCAAATCTACATTACTCAAAACATCAAGGTTTGTTTCATGCCAAAATAAAACTCTCAGCAAAATGCAGGTATTTCATTTCATTATCAGAACAATCATTGAGTCCACAACATTTCACAGTCACAGTGTTTTGCGTATCCCTAGGGCAGTGTTTCTCAACCTTGGCAACTTTAAGACGTGTGGACTTCAACTCCCAGAATTCCCCAGCCAGCAGAATTCCCCAGCCAGTCCACATGTCTTAAAGTTGCCAAGGTTGAGAAACACTGCCCTAGATATTGTGAGGAAAGAGTAAAGAGTGTCTCTTTTTTTTGGACAGTAGTGCTTTTTTTGAGGTAGTAGAAAAATGAACTTGGCTGTGTTTTGTCTGCACTTGTTCTATTTTTGCAGTTCTGCAAACTCTCATCACCTGCCCAAATAAACGATGTGCTATTTATTGAACCATAAAAATAGTGTTTGCCTTCTGAGGCTAGTGGTAAGGACCTGCAAAGATCAGCATTCGTTGTGGCTCATCTGGAATTGCCAGAAGCATTCTCTTCTTGAAATCCACCCAAGCATCGTGGCCCTTAGTGTTAAGGCATTCTTACTGGGAAGGGCTGTTTCTTTTTCTCTTTCTCCTTCAAGCTGTCTTAACGGATGGCTGTGGTCACCTCTTGTTATGAGTATCAGCAAGCTCATGGCCTTTTCCCTGATCTAAGCCCTTGGGATAGAACTGTGTGCGTCCTGCCATTCTTTCTCCCTGCGTGGCTGTTGTCCAAACTCCCAGAATAAGTGTGTGGGGTTTGTGGGATATATGTGCCCCCCAGGACTTCCTTTGCAGTCCCAGAACCCCCAAGAGCAAGCAAGTTGAACATTTTAGATCTCTTTTGGGAGGAGATAGAATGGTGAGGAGCAAATTAGTGCCTAAAGAGCCCATTTGCGGTAATGGTTAAGGTGCTGACCACCAGGAGATTCTGAGTTCTAGTCCCACCTTAGGCATGAAAGCCAGCTCTCTCTCTCAGCCCAACCCACCTCACAGGGTTATTGTTGTGGGGGAAATAAGAGGCAGGAGTATTAGGTATATCTGCCACCTTGAGTTGATTCTCTCTCTCTATAAATATATAGACAGAATAAAACAACAACAAGAATAATAATAGTAAAAAACCTTGTACCAATAGTAATATAAGGACGGTTTTCCCCAAATTAGCCCATTAGTCTAATTGAGATCTAAGGAGTAGATGCATTTTGCCACTTAAAGAAAGAGAGATTCCCAAAATGATGTCTGATAGCATTGATAGCCTCTTAGTGTCACTGGCCAGAGCCCCAGGCAGGGCAGGAAGAGGAAATGTAGACTCAAACTAGAAAAAGTTGCCCGTCTCTATCTTAGGGTCTGAGATACTTTTTAGGTCTTAGACGCCAAATGTTTGACCCATCCTGTTCCCGTGGTGCTAAAGGGAACAGAATTTGTTTGCTTAAAATACTTTTTTCTTTAGGTGGCCATGTTGGCTGAAGGTAAAGAATGGTCTATTGAAACATCTGCTGCTCGCAACTGGAGTCCTCCACAGCCCAAAGTTGCTTTGTCCTCAGCTCATCGGTAGACGTTCCTTTGTTTTGCTTATATTTTAAGGCTATAATTTTAGCTACCAAAGCACAGTAATTTGAGGAATACAGCCAAACATTAGAGAGCGTGTGCGTACGTGTAAGTTGCGGCTTTACATCTCTTGCTCTGTTCTCCAGAGAGGGTTTAGCATTCACTGGTTTTCTCCTGAACAAAAGGCAGAATATAAATCTGACAGCTAAAACTAGCAAATTAACTAAAAATAGATGCCCTGTAAAGGGCAGATGTGCCATGTCTGTTCAGAGGGATTTCATGTGTGTGCCCAACTTTGCATACAGCCTTCCTAGGTTAGCAGTGGTGTGGCAGTTTGTGTGTTGCAGTATGAGACAAGAAACCTGCACTTATAATTTATATATTTTGTCTTTTGTATGATTTCATTTTTATGTTGTTGTTTTCTGCAGAAGCTCTATGGGGCAACCGCAAAATGCTGGTACCACTTCTGATAAAGCATTTGAAGACTGGTTAAATGATGAAGTTGGTTCCTATCAAAGGTAAACATTTTATATGGAATTCAGCAAAAAGCCTTGAAGACTTTTTTTTTTTTATGCCTTCAAGTCAATTTTGACCCAGGGTGACTGCCTGAACAAGTTCCTGCAGTTTTCTTGGCAACATTTTTGGAAGTGGTTTGCCATTGCCTCCTTCCCAGAGCCAAGAGAGAGTGACTGGCCCAAAGTCACCCAGCTGACTTTGTGTCTAAGGTGGGACTAGAACTCAGCTCTCTGAGTTCTAGCCTGTTGCCCTTAGCCATTACACCAAACTGGCGCTCTCAGCACTTTAAAGACCAGCAAACGCATTTTGATTATAAATAGCTTGTCCTCCCTTCCTTTTGTGTTCCAATTCAGCGGCCAAGAGAATCGCTATGTGGGGTTTGGGAACACAGTTACTCCTCCAAAAAAGGAAGACGACTTCCTCAATAATGCCATGTCCTCTCTCTATTCAGTAAGTAGATGTTTTTCGTACATGTGCTAATTTAAGACATTGCTTTACTTTTCTATCATTTCTAATATTTTTAAAATAATAAAGTTAGGAATCCTAGCATGATTGGATGATTTTACTCTAGTCTGGAGTAAAAGTTGAAAAGATTTACAGTTTTAAATTATTTCAGCCATTACAGTATAATCTTGAAAAACGAAGAATACTGGGAATTGTTGGATAAAGGTCTGTGAATGCTTTTGCGTGTATATATACTTTCCTGGCATCCCAAGCAAAAATGATAATTTACTCCTGTCTTCTTTATCATTATTTCTAGTTTACAAGATCATAATCATTTATTCCATATTATAAGATTGTAACATAACAATGTTTGTGTTAACTGAGGGAATGCTAATCTTTCTTGTTTCTCTATAGGTTTTTTCAGTAAATGCTGAATCAGTAGCTGGGTGCATGAAATGGAAAATGCATTTCAAATGACCCATTACATTCTAATAAACCATTTCAGAACAGCCCCATTGCAGATATATAAATGGAAAAGCAGGACTACTGACTTTCGATCTCTTTTTTCAGGGCTGGAGTAGTTTTACATCTGGAGCAAGCAAGTTCGCTTCTGCAGCTAAAGAGGGTGTAAGTAAACATTCCGACTGGCAAATGGATCTATTCATTTTATTCTCAGATGGATTTCTTTTAGAAACTTTTTTTACAGGAATAAGTCTCATAAAAAAGTTACGAGTCATAACTAATAACCAAAAAATTAATGCTAGTTTTTTCCCCCCCAACATATTTTGGGTCAGCTAAATTTATTAAATACTTCTTGACGTTTTGGTGATTTTATCATCTCAGGTTTTGGGGAATTACTGGCCAAATTTGTATGGAATAGTAAGCCAGGTTTGCAATAAATTTGCTTCTATGTATTGTACACGTATGCTTCTATATAAAGTACTTTCACGTCCATTTGATTCTTAGTTCAGTATATGTGGGTAAAGAAATGAGAAAGGCTTTGTCTGATATGCCACCATGGCTGTCCTGACTTTTCTTCTCACTACAAACCAGGATTCATAAACTGGACCTGAACCCTTCAGATATATAAATGGAGAAGCAGGCTAGGTTCCTAAATTCAGATCAGATGTTAAACAAGCCATTCCTGATTTATGTAACCCATCACACCATAGGAGCCAAGCAGCCACCAATCACTTGTGTACATAAGAAGTCAATTTATTTACAGAAACTTGCATGTGCCAGAATTATGTCTTATTCTGTATGAATGCCACCACTCCGATGAAACCCTTAGAGGGCCATGCTCATCTATCAGTAGATTGCAGCTGCCATATGAATCAACAGCTTGTCTGAATCCTTCCTCAGAGAAGGGTTATCTTTTAAAATATCTGCCACTGAATGCAGTAAGAAGTAATCCAACCCATTTTGCTGCTGAAGGCAGAGTCCAAACAGCGTATGTCTCCTGCAGGACCAAAACATGTTACACTGATCAGGTATAATTTTTGTCTTCATTTAGTTTTCCCCATCCTGGCCATACATTTATAGAGCTTCCTGTTAGGAAATATGAGACCATCCTGGGAAGGACCATCTAAGGCCAGTGTTCCATTTCCAATAAAAACTAGTGTTTCTCTCTCTCGAAACAAGATCTTGACCTGACTGCACATATCTATCAGTAGATTCTTGTATGACAAAGTATGTCGCCTTGGCTTGTGGACATTTTTTATCTAATTTCTGTAGATTTATTTCATCTTGTAAAAAGCTTTGTTTTTACTTTCCTAGTCATTTTCAAAATGTAAGTTTGGGAATGGCCAAGATGTTTACAGATAGTTGACTTCAGGAAAAATTGTGATGTTGGGTGGCCTTGAATAACCAGCCTACATTGTTTTCGTGCATTGTTTTCTAGTTTAAATGTAAAATGGCTCAGATATTTCATTGTAATATTAAATAAGCATGGTTCTTACAAACATGTAAAATATTGCTTAGGCTGTTAAATATGAAGGCTTACAAAGCAAAGTTATATAACTTGTTTTTGCCCACCAAGAATCATATTGCTGAGATGATGTTTGTAATAATAGCACATATTTGCCATTGTACCTTGCGTTTTCTTGTTTTTGCATCTGTGTGTTCTCTGTTTTTTCCCTATAGCTTTCAAACTTGATAGATTCATAAGATTGTTTCAGAAGGATATGAAAGATTGTTAGCCGATTGAAAAATAAAGAAATTAGTAGAATATATTTGGGTAGTGTTCAAAGCCTCCTGTGTGGATAGACTCTAACAAAGCATAATTTGGGATCTGGGGACATAGTTGTTGCCAGTTCCTTAAGGTGGTAGTTTGATTTGCAGAGTGTTTGAATTTTTAATTTCTAAAAGGACATATGAGATTGAAATAAGGCAATTTTGCTTTTGTCAACAGGCTACCAAGTTTGGATCTCAGGCAACTCAAAAGGTAACTCACAAACTATTGAACACTAAAAACCTTGTATTGGTTCTATTTTCCTTGTAGTTGATCTCCTGAATCTCCTCTGAGAAGTAACACAGATCACTGTATGCTTAATTAAATAGCAGATGAAAGCAAGGGGTGAACCCGTTCACTCTTTAGCTGCCTAGTTAGTTATTTGCTGCAGTGTTGAGCAATATCTACAGTGTTAGTGAGAATCTGTTTTTAAACCTCTTGTTTTTGTCCTTGGCATCAGCTTGTGTTAGCAGTAAATTGTACAGTCAAGTTTCAGGCTGTTGAAATAACCCAGTAAGGCAACCTCGTTAGACTTCGGTAGCAAGGCACACCCTGCTTCTTATCCTTTCCAAATGCAGTTGGAAACAACTGTCCACAGCTTACTCAGCTGTATTTTGGGGCTTCTGATTGCAACAGGCTGGATGATATCTCTTTGGTTTGTTTTATGTATGTTTCTTGTAGTGTTTCCAGCCCCTGCATTTGGACAGCAATTGTAAGCCCACACAGACTGTGGGCAGCAGTTTCTAAGCCATGTAACTTGCTGGTATCCATCAAACTTACATCTTGTGCAAAAGCAGTCATTGTATGTGTGTGCAGATAGATGATGGATGGATAGATAGATAAGGTAGGATGAAAATCTAATAATAATGTGAAACAATTAAACAGAACTTAGGTTGAGTTTATACTCTTTTTGTACATCACACAATTTATACATATCTTACATTTTACCTGACACTACTGAATGTATTACTGTCATATTAAGACTTTCCCTTGACACAGACAAATTAAGGAGACATGAATAAATCTACAGAGCAAACTGTCTAATGCAGTATTTCTCAACCTGAGCAACTTGAACAGGTATGGACTTCAACTCCCAGAATTCCCCAGACCAGTGTTTCTCAACCTGAGCAACTTGAACAGGTATGGACTTCAACTCCCAGAATTCCCCAGACCAGTGTTTCTCAACCTGAGCAACTTGAACAGGTATGGACTTCAACTCCCAGAATTCCCCAGCCATCATGCTGGCTGGGGAAATCTGGGAGTTGAAGTCCATACCTGTTCAAGTTGCTCAGGTTGAGAAACACTGGTCTAATGTAATGTCAGAACGGATACCATGATCCCTGCATAAAACTATATAACCTGTTGTTTATTGTTTAGAGCCATCACATGCCAGCTCCAAATAGTTTTTGAAGTAGTGTCTGAGTGAGGATTGCTTTAGGGGTAAATCATTCCTTGATGTTTAGGGATGCTATGCTGAAATTACAGTGGGAAAGAATGGCTGCCATACAGTCATACAGTCATACTTTTGTGGTGCCATTTGTAGGAACTGACTTGTCCACATGTGGAGTGGCACAGATGAAAAGTGCAGCTCTTGAGATTGTATAAACCTTTCTTCAAGTGGGCATTGTTGTGGAGGTTATGTGTGGAAAGTCGGTTCATATAAGTGTCACTTCTGTTTAGTTTATCTCTCACAATGACCATATATATTTCTGAAGAGCTTGCATCATAGGTAGAAAGCCCAGCTACTTGGGGGTCATATTTGTGATAATAACATTTAATACGCTTTTGCTAGAATTTCCTGTTTGTGGGAAGCTGGTGTAAATTTTCCCCAAATTGTGCAAAATAAAATTTAGAAGTTTTTGAGGTCTGTATTTGATTTGGAAACAGGTATCCAGTGAAGGTAAATCAGTTTCATTATACATCATGTTCAGGCTCTATATAAGTATAGTAAATTGTGGGAGATTTTAAGCCAGGAGTTGGCAATAAAGATTCTGCCCCAGAATGTGATTTTGCTCTCCAAACTAAGAGAAGCTTTTGATTGAAGGCAGTAAGCACGCCATAATCATATACAATGTTTTTGAGGAAGGGAATACAGGTAGTCCTTGCTTAACGACTGTTCGTTTAGTGTCCATTTGAAGTTACGATGACACTAAAAAGTGACTTTTGACTGGTGCCCGAAGTTATGACTGTCGCAGCACCCCCACGGTCATGTGATTGTGATCTAGGCACTTGGCTACCAGCTCACATTTACAACGGTTGCATCGTCCCAGGGTCATGTGATTGCCATTTGCAACCTTCCCAGCCAGCTTCCAGCAAGCAAAATCAATGGGGAACCACGTGATTCACTTAATGACAGCACAATTCGTTTAAGGACCATGTGATTCACTTAACGACCGCAGTGATTTGCTTAATGGCCACTGCAAAAAACTCATAAAAATGGGTCCAGTCACGTGATGATTCGCTTAATGACCACATTGCTTAGTGACCTAAATTCTGATCCCAATTGTGGTCATTAAGCAAGAACTACCTGTATTTGGGCTCCAATACATTAATGCCCAAGGCCAGGAAAGTTTGCAACCCCTGTCTTAAGCCTCTATCTGAATTTAAAGAAGATATTTGCTTCTTAAACAGCATAGGATTATTTCGATATTACCTTTGTTTTCTTTTGTTCTTTCTAACAGAAGTCATCGTTGCTTCCATAGCTGCTAGCTTAAAATCTTGTTAAGTAGTATTAGTAGCCACGTACATATCTGTGCAAAGCACAAGAGATATTCACCACATTTTGAATCAAACTGATTTGAATTCAAAACACCTTGTCTTGAACATAAAACACCTAGTTTTGAATGAGAAACAGGCACTTGAAGGATGAGGTGGGGGGGGTCCATCTTCTTTGCCTTTTTCTATTAGAAGGGTGGCATTGCAGGCCTGAAACAAAGTGTTTTGAATCTGAAATGCTTCAGGTTGAAACTGTTTGCACTGCATTACCGAGCCCTAAACTGGAATTAGCTGTTATCAGCTTCCCTGCCAAGGTGCTTCAGCAGCCATGTTCTTTCTTTTTCAGATTGGGTTATCATAAATGACAACCAGTTTCTCAAATTAGCAAGCTTATTTGTTGCTTTCAGTCTGGCTGTGATATGTATTTGGCAATTTGGTTTGGCACGTTAAACAACAGATTTGCCCTTTTTGTTAGTAAGGCTCTGGTATGTAGGAATAAACAACTTGCTTTCTTGTCTAGGATAAAACAAGTGCTTTAGATCTTTTGCTAAAAGTTGGTTCTTCTACTTCCTTTGCTGTCTTTCTTGTGCTGCCTGGTGTAAAGTTTTGGGGCCAGAAACAGCAGGCAGAGCCGGTAAAGCCCTCTCTTCTCATGCATGGGCGCTTTGTAACTGTGCTGAATTTGTACATCTTGCTGCTAGCTGTGTTTTCCCTTTCACCTTTTATCTTCCCACACACACACTGGGCAAAGCCACCACCATTTTTGTCAAACAGTATTGTCTGCATCTTTCTGTAACGTCTCCTTCAGCTTGCTTAAAATAGGCTGCCTTAGCAAGAGTCTTAAATATATATATATATATTTAAACCCATACTGTTTCGTAAGCGTTAAGATCAAGAGTTCATTTGCCATGGGAGTGGGGAGTGGGATCATGAGTGAGATGCGGCCAGATTTATTGTATGAGAGAAAGCTTTGGATTTGGGGTCGGTAAGAAATATTTCTCAGAAGATCGCCTTAATGGGAGAGAAAAGGTTGCAGGATCCAGTCAAACTTTTGCTGGACTTCAGTGTGCCTTCTCTTTTAAAGATCAGGGATTCCAACATTCAGCATTCCATGGCCAAGAAATTCATATTTCATCAATGGTGCAGATGTTTGCCCTAATCAAGGATACTGATTAGGGTGTGAATAGGTATAGAGGGCCCGTGGCATCCACAGGCTTGGCCACAGTTACAGAGGATGCCAGCCACATTTGTGAACTTCTGGGCTACAAAAGTGGAGGCATCAAAATATGAGCAACGAGTTAGAAAATATTTCCAGGAGAAGAGCAAGAATTTTTCCAAGATTGCCTACAACAGGCATCTTGAGTTACTTGCCTAATCCCCTTGCAATCCCTCTAAAGAACACAAATGCCTTTCTTAGTTTTTCTTTACAGTGCCCTGCAGAAGTCATTCATCCCACCCTTTAGCCATAATTATATATGTCACTCTATTTAAGAATAAGCAAGTAACTGAATCTCCCCAAAGTATCCAATAAGCAACAATAGCAAGAATATATTGTGTACTTACAAACAAATCCAAAGTAAGAGTCAAAAGAGTTCTCTTTGGTCCTGGTTAATGGCAGAAAGGATCATATCCCCAAAATTGAAGCTGGGCACTTACTGATCAAAGAGGACAATCAAGATCTTGTAGTGTTAGAAGCAGAGAGGAGATGTTTGCAGCACATGTATCTTCTAGAAAATCAAGATGCAAGTTATTCCATTTCTTTTTCTCTCTTTGCATCTTCAATTAATAATCTTCCCTTCCATTTGCTGGGGACCCAGTATCCTCTTTTCAATTGTAGTTCCTTTAGAATAGGCCTCCTGAACTCATGTCCCCCCTCCCCCAACGTTTAACTCCAAGTGTCACTCTCCATTGGTCATTCTAACTGGAGCTGCTGGGAGTTGGGGTAAAATGTCATCTCGAGGACTACCTTTGGTCAATAAAAAGAGAACAGAGGAGAAAAAAAACATCCTTCAGATAACAGACCATATCTAGGGCATCAAAATAAAAATGCAAGAGGTCTTGCACAATGTTGATTTTTAATTAATACTATGAATTAACACTTTATTAACACAACTTGACAGACCCTCCAATTAAAACAAAAGCTTCCTGCATCTCTGCCAGTACAGTAGTTCCAGCACTCTTCATGTTTGTGTTGAGCATCATGGCAAAGAGTATATACTCTAAGCCAGTGTTTCTCAACCTTGAAAAACACTGCTCTAAGCTGTGGAAAGAGGTTCTGATGCAGGAGCGTGTCTACTCTGTGTCCTAGAATCAGAAATTCTTAAATGGGAATGCATGTTTTATTTATTTATTTATTTATTTATTTATTTATTTATTTATTTAATTTTATTTATTCATTTATTTATTTATTTAATTTTATTTATTCATTTATTTATTTATTTAATTTATTAATCAAATGTGTATAACTGCCCATCGCACAGAAAAGCAACACTGGGCGGCTTACAAAATCCAATAAAAACCACACGTATGTAAACAATCAGTATAAAAAATATAAATATCAATATTAAAAGCTAACACGGTAACAAACAAATAGGAAAACCCTAGGCAAGAGAGCATAAGGATAGATAACTCAACAGTGGAGCCATCTAAACATCTTTTAAAAATAATTATTTGGCTACACCTAATGGTAATGTGAAGTTGCCATTACCACTAGCCTCTCACACAACTTTAGTAACACCACATTCCTTCTACATAAATGGCTATCCTGTGGGTTTTCCTCTAGATCAGTGTTCCTCAGTCAGGGCAACTTCCTGATGTACTATGACCTTCAGTACCCACAATTCTCCAGCCAGCATGGCCATTGCCGAGAATTGTGGGAGCTGAAGTCCATACAACTGAAAGTTGCCAAAGTTGGGAGATCTAGATGATCGCATGGTGATCTGGTTCTCGCACAACACTAAGCCAGGATGTTTTAATTTTGGTTTGCTGAACAAGCCATAGTGTCCTAGTTAACAAATTATGCTGTGCCATAATGAGTGGATTCATGCACTGCACTAAGCCGAAAAGAAACTATCCATGTGGCTAAGTATAGTTTATGGCTGCAGCCAGCGGGGCCAAACCACTTGGGTGGAAAAACATGGGGACGATGACTTGTGCAGCAACCATGCCCCTAAAAGAACGCTTTATTTTACAAGAGCCCATCCTTCTGGTCTGCTGTTCCTCGCCGGACCTCGATGAAAGGCCCATTCCAAGAATACAGTGACAGCCCTTTTGTCTTGTGTATCTCAGTGTTCTGTTCCTTTGTGATCTTGTGTCTTGTGCTTCAAGCTCACTCTGTTGCTTGTCATGGACTGCTTAGGGTGTCCTACTTGGTCTTCTTTTTGATTTGAACCTCTACCGGATACTTTGTGCAGTGATACATGTCAGATGTGTCCTGTGGGGTGGAAAAAGTGTTAACTGATTTTTTTTTTGTTTTGTTTTGTTTGCTTTTAACTAGGCTTCAGAGTTAGGTCAAAGTTTAAATGAAAATGTTCTCAAACCTGCACAGGAAAAGGTAACTTTGGAAATAAGTACTTGACTGATGGCTTTTAAATGCAATTTCCTTCTGAACCCCGTAAGCTGATTCAGTATGAATTATGTGTATCTCTAGCATCAGCATAATCCTACCGTCCCAGATCTCATCACTTATAGGTCCTGTCCAAACTTTGCCTGGTTGTATTTCAAGGTATCTACAACCAAAATTCTGGCTGGCTGGTTCAAGTCAGTGTGAAATGTTGCTTTCCCAATCACTTTTCCCTGCTGTTCAGCCCTTCTGTCTCAAATTCAGTATTTCAACCTTTCTAGAAAGAAACTCAAAGTGGAATCCATTCTCTCCTCCCCTTCTCCCCCACAGCCTCTCAGGTAGGTTAGGCTGACCAAGGTCATCCAATGACATTTGTGTTAAACCAGAATTTGTTCCTTGGTTCCCTTGCCCTAGTCGCTCCTAATAACTCCGCCATACCCTCTTTTGTCAACTCACATCTTCCCGATCAGCAAATTATGACTTTCTTTTCCCTCAGGGAATATAGAATTACCTTTATTTATATAGAACAATCTGAAGTATACCAAAGGTTCTGTAGTATGGGTTAAAAGCTGATTGCAGTGTGTCACTTCTCTTAGGGTATGCTGTATCACTTGAAAATGTATTTGGGAAACTGCTTGTTTGCAGCATCCATTTGGAACCCTTTTCTTTATGTTGGAAGCTTACTTACTTGGCAGGGGGGTTCTTCAGACTTTCCATGATAAAAGCATGTTTTGATGACCTGTACTTCCTCAAGCATTCAGTCCCCTTTTAGTATCCCTAAAAAACTGAGAGAATTTTCAGTCTTTGAGTGATCAGTGGCAAATAACAAAATATGATAAACGCCCTCTAGACATTGTAAATTAGATACAGAATGAATTGTCCCACTCATTTTGTATGCTTGAGGATTAAAATCTGGACATCAGGATACCAAAGAGAATGCTACGAACTTTGTGCAGAATTCTACATAGGGTTGCACTTATGATATACAACCCCCTGCTTTATACTTGTCTTATTGCTTTAATAAGAGCTCTTTTCCACGAAGCCCCTTGCAACATTGCTTCTTGGGAGTTTAGTAGGTTGGATCCAAAACCTTTGCATTCCCCTGACAGTATTGTGAAGAGTCGTCCTTTTTAATAAGCAGTTTTCTCTCGCATCCTGGCTTCCTTGTGGAAGAAACCATTTCTTTTACGTTTGTGTAATGAGTTTTTCTCACAGGCTGCCTTGATCTACATCTAACTCTGGACCACTTGATTCATGTAGGTGAAAGATGGGAAAATTCTGGATGATGTTTCCCAGGGAGTCTCGCATTTTGCTTCCAAGGTATGAAGTGGCCTGCCTTGCAACCAGGAGGCCCTGTGTTAAGCCAGTTTCCATATTCCTGTTGCACATGGAGCTCCAGTGCAAGGAATGATTTCTCTTGCAGCCAGACAGCCTTGTTGTTTCCTCCCTTGTTTGAGCCGCAGCTCATCCATTATTTCTAACTCCCAAAGTCACATCTCTTTTACATGGCAAACAAATTTGAAAGTTCCTTAACCCAGCAGTAGCCGGTATGACTGCCAATGTTAGACTCAGCTGTGGAGTATTATGGAAGTGTGGGTGAGGTGTGTCCAAATCTTGGGTTTATCAATATTTAGTATTAATCAGATTAGCACTCGGTTTGTATCAAGGGATAGTCCAAGCTACTGTTTATAAAAATAATTAAAGGTCAGCCTATGTGCCATTGATGTGACAATTGAAAGAAAGCTTTTGTGCTGTCAAGAAGCATCTCCCAAAAGTGTTATTACGTCTTAATAAAGGCTATGCTGAAAAATGATGGAACAGAACAATTGATGAGCCATATTGCAAAGGAATATGGAAACAGCTTAATTTGAGCGCACGTCCTTCTAAAACTTGCTAATTGATGTGTCTTCTCCCTCTCCTCCTGTTCTTGCTGCCATTATTCAATGAAACTGGTAAGTGCTAATGCCTCCTGGTTTTAAATAGGTTTTAACCAAATGATTTTAGTTTTAAATGTGTAATTTTTGATTTTTTTTTTTTCAAAAGCGGCATGAATATTTGATCAGGTTTCTTTTCGGTATTTTAAATAGTAATAATGTAGTCTTGGTATTGTTCAACAAGAATATCTTGCATCCATTTTTTATATAAAGTAGGCGCTGCCACCTTATTTCTTAAATTTTATTCAGCAAGAATATTTTAAAACCCTGCTTCTTTTGCTCAGAGTCGGGTTCCAGCAGTGTTGCTTAGTATCTTTTAGCTCGCGATGTTATGGGTTGGGAAGATGATGATGATGATGATGATGATGATGATTTCGTATGCCTCCTGGTGTGCGGAAGGAAGAAAGGAAAGGAAGAAAGGTTAGGACAAAATTGGGAGGGCCCATGTCTATTTTATTAGATGTATTTGCACGCACATAAAGGTTTGCTAATTCCACAGAATCTGGTCCAGTCCTTGAGAAGAAGTGGCTTTGGGGTAGTGTAAGAGAATGGTTCAGTTGAGGCCAACCAAACTTCTCCTGCACATGGCCTTTTACATATTTGTATATTAATTGCATGTTTAAATCTAGAACAAAAATATGACCATAGCATCATGTTTTTTTTTAATCACTATGGCCACTACATGGGTTTGCGCCTATTGTGGTGTGAGCAAAGCAAAAAGGAAACCAGGTCCTGTGATTTGTTGAGTAACTCTAAGCACATTAACCAGAAAGATCTGAATCGATCCTGTTGGATTCTCAGACATGGACACTTCAGTTTTTAATTTGTGTTGGTGAAGAAGCCAATCAACTTTCGGTTCATGAAAGTCATGGGGATTGGTGGCTATTAGCCTTGAGGGTGGTGGGACTGCCTCTGAAGACCATCTGCCGGGGAACTGGTGGGCTTCCTTGGGCAGTTGGTTGGCCACTGGGAGAACAGACTGCTGGACTAGATGGGCCAGGGGCCGATTCAGCAGCGCACTGCTTATGTTCTTATTTAGGAATACAGTTGCTTGCTAAGCCCCATTCTGTTTTCTTGGTTTCAGAGGTTGATAAAGGAAGGGGCTTATATCTGTGTCCCACAGTTCTTTCACCCTGCAACCTTTCTGTTTGCTTTATTATCTTTTTCTCCCCCACAGGTCCAGGGAGTAAGTACTAAAGGCTGGCGAGATGTGACCACTTTTTTTTCTGGAAAAGCAGATGGGCCTTCCGAAAGGTATGGTAGATGCATACACTCAGGTTTTGTACTAGATAATATAACCTCTATTACATATAACTTGCAAATGGGGTTCAGGCTATCTGAAAAAGGGTATGTTCCCTCATGAGCCTAGTCAAACTTCTAACATTTTCAGGAGGAGCCCCATCAGTCCCATCCCTAACAGAAATCTATTTATGAACAAGAAAGAAGGCCTTTATCAGCAGCTGTTCTCAAACTTTGAGACTTGCTACAATTGATGATGGGCTAGTTCTCGTTCTGTTACTCACTCCTGGGAAGCAGAAACCTTTTTATTTAAGCCAGGGTTCTCATATGCACACTTTTAATTTGTGCTAAATTAGAGATTGGTGAGTTTTGTTGAAATGAGGGGGCTTTTGACATTGTTTTATCATATTTTCATTGTATATATTCCTATTCTTAGCTATTTTATGCCCTGTTTGTTGGCAAGGAAGCAGGCTATAAGCCCAGTGTTTAAGTAAATGCCGATAAATCATTTTGTTTGGCTGGTATTGTAGTCAAAGGGATCCTTTTTAAAAATGATAAGCAGATCTAGTTTCTCCTTCATAGTTTTTTTTCTCTTAATTCAGTATCTTTTTAAGCTGAAGCAAAGTTTAAATCAGATCAAGAGTAAATGAAGCCTTAAAAAGGGGGAAATCGGTTGTCTCAAGACTTAATTATACTTCATTCCCAATTATTTCAATGGGGCTATTCAATATAAATATTTGGATCCAATCCTTTTAATGAAAAGTAACAGTTCTGCTTCTCAAAATCCCATGCTTTAATCCTTCATTTTCAGCCTTGTTCCATCATATTCAATAAACTTCCGGGGAAGCTTAAAACTTGAGAACATTCCATTGTATTCCTCTCATGTCAGAACAATTTCTTTATTTTCTAAATAAAGAAAATAAGTAAAGTATAACTGATAGAGCAGGATCTTATTTCCAGAATGCTGCTGGTCAGATGATAAGCTGCTCAGAGCTGATTGGGGGTCTGGAAGAGCACAGGGGCCAAAGTCCTGTGACCTTGCAACAAACTGGGGTCTCCCACATGACCATGTTTTTTGGGATAAAACACTAGAGGTTATTAAACAAGCTTATGTGTTTACAAAGTCCAAAAACATGCAAGAAAATGAATCAATAAACAGCCAGTATAATTTATTAAATATTGTGTATTGGCAATGACGTGCAAGGCAATCAGTCACTTGATATCAGTGCTTATATTAGTTGTTTGCAGACTAACATAACAGCCTTAAGCAGTTAGTAGTTTAAAGGTTAACATGGAGGTTTTTGGCCAACGCATCTTAATTAAACTAAGCAGTGGGCATACAGTCTAATCAAATCAAAGTTTTATTATAGTCATAGACCAGCATAGGGCATACAGTCTAAAACAACAGCTAATGCGTTAAAGAGAAAGTTCAGAGGAGGGGAGAGACTAGTGGGGGAATTGGGCTTTTATAGTTTAAACGGGCATACAGAGCTCAGCTAGAGATGGAAGTAGCAGAGATGTAAAAAACAGACTAAATAACTTGCAAGACTTCTCACTAAAGATTTCACATGAAGCGAAGAAAGCAAGAGATTAGAATGGAACATTCCCACCTCCATACACATATGCTCACAGGGTAGGGAAGGTTCATTCTGTTGCAGGACACAGCTTAGCTTGGGAACAGGAAAGAAAGGAAGACAAGGTTGTGTGAACCAAGGAGAGGGAGAAAGACTCAGCATACCTAGCAGTGCTGTTCCTGCGGTCTGGCATTGCTGATGCATGGAGTTGGAGGATGAAAGGGTGAGAGCGTGAAAGAAAGAAGAGAGTTGCTCCAATGCGCAGGAATAGTTCTCTGGATGAAAACCAAGGGGAGGAAGAGGGAAGGAAAAGAAATCAAAAGAAAAAGCACTAAAAGAAGCATGACCTATTTTTTTCTAAAAAATTTTTATCCTGAGGCACATGTATGGTCAGTCTTCCCCTTCATAGAAAAAGGGGAAAAGGAAGGTCATAGAGACCCCTCCCTCCCAAAAAAAAATCATGAAGGGACAAAGAAGGGGAACAGGTTTGGCCATATGGCAGGATGGTTTTATGGTTTTTCTCCCAGTATGAGTCAAGGATTGCAGAAGAAGTTCTGGCTTCTTCAGAAGGATTTGAGCAGGAAGAATTCATAGCTCAGAGAGATTCCTGCAGAGAGCTAGATCTTTCACTGTTTCATCTGCAAATTCTTTGCATATACTTACAATTGCCTAGTTTTGAGGAAAATTGTCCCATGATTCACCTTAATATCATTTTCTTCTCTAATGTTGTCTGCTGAGCAATGAGTCATAGACAGGTCTCCTAGGACACCCTGATTCTCTACCAGACTAGGGCCTCCTTTCTGGCCACCCAGACTTGCCTGCCAGCCTTCTTCTAGAGCAGTGGTCTTCAAACTTGAGATACCTGAGGAACCTTCCCAATGTAAAAACACAGCACGGAATCCATTAATAAATGCATTTCACGTAATACCTTGTCACAGACCTCTCTGTTTCAAACAAAACAAAGGAATGAAGACAGTTTCACTGTAATCATAAGAGTAAACTGTCATGTTGAACCCCTGGATGATTCTCATGGATCCCTGGGGTTCTGAGGAACACAGTTTGAATACCACAGTTCTAAAGCATAAGGGTTCCAGCTGGTGTAAAACTGGTCTGGACCTCATTTCTTGACCAGAGTATTGAAGCTGTGCAAGCCCTGAACCAAATTGGAGAGATACGATTTAGGGAGGAGGGTAGCAAATCAGGTAACAACCTAAAATATCTTGGGAACACATTTTCTCTTAACTTTATATGTAGTAGAGTAGAGTAGAGTAGAGTAGAGTAGAGTAGAGTAGAGTAGAGTAGAGTAGAATAGAATAGAATTTCTATTCTATTCTTTCTATTCTATTCTTTCTATTCTATTCTTTCTATTCTATTCTTTCTATTCTATTCTTTCTATTCTATTCTGTCAGAAGAGGAGAATTGGAGGAAGAATAATACTGTGGCTATTGACTAACATATATTCATTTTTAAAAGGAGAAGATATTATCCAACGTATATTCACATTTGACAGAGCATTATCAGTCACATATTATTTTTTAAAATGTATGTTTTTAAACATCCAGATTACTTTTACAAGCTTTATCTCCAAATAGATAACTGATTTCACATACGTCTTTATAGAAATACTTCAAAGGCCTTTGTGAAAGGAGTTGTTTTCTGTTGAATGGGGAGTCTCTCTCCCATCCTACCCTTGGATTTCTAAGCAGCTACTTGCTTTTATAGTTTCAGGGTTGGTTCTAATTAGAAACCCCTTTTTTTCTTGTCAGATAGCAGAAAATTAATATGGGAGGTTTGAAGAAAAGAGCAGTCATATTTTGTTTCTCTGTGTTGAACTAAACTAGTCCCTATTTTTCTCTGTGCTCCTTTTTGAAAGGCCTCCTGAGGGAGAGAGCTACCAAAACAGTAAAAGTGATGGCTACCAGAACAGCATTGTGGATCAAAGTTTTTGGGAGACCTTTGGCAACTCAGATCCGCCAAAAACCCACAAGTCCCCAAGCAGTGAAAGCTGGACGTACGTGGACAATTCTACTGAGAAGAAAAGCTCCGATAGCTGGGATGTTTGGGGGTCAGGTACCGTTTCCAATAACAAGAACAGTAATGGTGACAGCTGGGAAAACTGGGAGACCAACTGGGAGAATGCAGCAGGGGAGGGCAAAGCCAAAAAGACTTCCAAGAAGACCACAAAAGAATCCTCTTCAGCTGCTGAAGATGAATGGGACAATCACAACTGGTAGGACTCATTCCCTAACCAGCACAGCAGAAGAAAAAAAATCACACCTCTAATGGAAGAATCTCCCACCTCACTGGACTAACGTCATTTGGGGAGCCTGTTCAAACCTCATGCTCACTGTTCCATTCTCTTTCCACTTCCTGTTTACAACCTCCACAACAAGAACATTGGTTTGCAGATTCTTGTAATTACCATATGAAGATCCAGTCATTTCATGGAAATGATCGTTGCATTAGATATATTCTCATTGTGCTGCTGTCCTTGTGGGGTTTGCCAACTTCCTTAAATCAAGAGTTTGGAGGAAGCAAGTCCATGCAAGCATACTATCCTAGCACAACACTGCATGTGTAGTCTGGCATAGTTGCCCAACTTCTCTTTGGGACTTCAGCTGATGTTTTGGAGGACTTTTGGATAGTCTGGTATGGGGGTATCTTCAGCCAATTAACATTTTGTGACTGAGATGGGATGGCTTTGAATCAAGCCAAAATACTATTTAAGATATTGTAGAAGCAGTTCTTAGATTGTTTATTTGAGGGTGTTTATTTTTTAAAGAAGCTCTCAGCTTGATAACTTCAGTTCTCTTTCTTAGAAGGAAACAAACTGAGCTTTTCTAAAAGCTTTTCTGAAAATTCCTGTTCTTGTCTTTGGTTGCTTTTCAATAGGCGTGTATAAGATTCCTCATCCTTTTTTTTCCTTTATCCATTAAATTAAATCTTCCATATTCTTTTCCTCCATCTAAGGTTCCATATGCTCCTCAATTTTAGCAAAATTGCTAGATATAAACCATGATGGAAAGATAGACAAGATAGGTGACAGTTTCAATACAGAACGTGCAGAGGTCAGAAGCAAACGTCTTTCTAACTAAACAAAAGCAAATACTAATTTGGTACTTCGCACTTAAAGGAAATTTATAAGATTCCATATTAGATTTCCAACTTCCTCTTTCCCTTCCCCTCCTCCCTCCGTGCCCGGAAGGAAACTAGTGAAGAGTAATCAGATTACAATTTTATCATTTTGAACTATACTGCATGAGTTTGGAAAAAGAATTCCAGTATCCTTTTCTACAAGGTAATATGTCAAGTCTGTTTCCGGTGCTTGTGATCAGTAGATTGTTTTTTGTAATCTCTGTATGTTTAAATACTATAGCACAGTGTTAGACTGCTAAGATGTGGAACACACTGAATCATGCTAAAATTGGCTGAAGTCCAGAATGGATGTCAAAATGAGACTTTTCAGGAACCAGTATGAAAATCTTGTTTGCAGAACCTGTGTTTCTTTATCCAAGAAAACCTTTGGATTGACTAATGAACTGTGTGACGTCTGATGAGCCTTGATACAGACTTCCAGTTTCTCAGAATTTAGCTAAAGTTGTCTGCTGTATATAACTGTGTGTGTGTATCAGTGCACACAGATACACACACATCCAGATCATGAAGTATTAACAGTTTCCTACAATTTTTATGTATTGTTCAATATGTCAGTATCTACCTTGTGAAGAAATATGAAGTCCTTGGGCTGTTGTGTGGTACTTTTCACTCGTTTTTCAAATTACTAGCCAAACATTTCCTCTTTCTCGTTAATTTTGCTTCACCATCTCAGTGGTTGCTCGCCTTCTGCTCTTCTAATCAGACTATGGTGGCAATGGTTAGGTGATCTGTGCCTGTCCTTCAAGAAGGTGTTTTCTTTTTTGCCAAACTTCTGAGATTTTGTGACCTCACAAAAACTGCACCTTACTTAAAAAAAAAAAAAAAAAGAATGTCTCAGCATAGAGTTAATTTTGCTATTTCTTTTGCTGATGCATCCATTTTTCCCAATGGCATGAATTTTTCCATGTGAGTTTTTACGTTTCTCATTTCCTACTCCCCAGATCACTGCATAGAAACTTAATTGTATATTTTGCATGTAAACTAGCATCAGCGTCTATCTAATTTTGCTTATCTGATCTGTTCAGAACATGTGCTGTTTAAATCTTTGCTGCATTTAACTGTGAAATTCAAGGAGAGGGGAGCATATTTGAACTCTGTGTCTACATTAATGTATTTTTTGCCTCATTGCAATTTTTACCATCTCCTAAACTCCTCATATAAGAATATGTTTATTTTTAAAGCAGCCTTTCCATTTTTTTATCCAAAGGTAGGGTTGATTTTTTTTCTCAAATTATATCTTTTCAGACTACAATCTCTTCCCTTTGAGAATCACCTCTTTGCCTTTCCAATTTTTAAATGAGATCATGGTACTGCTGTCACCTTAGTAAAAATTATACAGAGTGAGGAACGCAAGTATCAAACACCAAGATGACTCTAAAAATCATGATCTTACCTTGGTGATGAAGAAGGTAGCACACAGTTCACCGTTACAGCTAGCGTGGGCATTTCTCAGTTTTGCATTGCTACCTCTATGGAAGAAAAGATACTTCTCTTGATCTCACAGATGTATTACAGGTTTGCAAGTAGCTTTTTTTCTTGGCTACCTATTATAGAAACACTTTTATGAACAAAATCTTTAAGAAAAGGGGTTACAAACGGATAAATAGGAGATCACAGTTGTCATAGTTCATGTTTAATTGTATGGTATTCCCCAAGTGGCCTACACAACCAGGTGGCTTATGTATTTGAACCTATCTTTTTCTTGACGTTATAGGAGGAGAGCCATGTTAGTCTATGGTAGCAAAAAAAAAATCAGGAGTCTGATCTTTTTTCTTGTAATTCCATAGTAAGAAAACAACTTAAGTCAGATCGGCTGTCCTTGAGTTAGAAAAATAAAGGCTGAAAAGCCCTTCTGCATGATTGGGGATTTATATCTGCAGTTTAGTAATGAAACTGATTCAGCTTTTCCCAGCTATCCATTGTTGGTTGGGCTGTTGTGGGCACTGGTTTAACTCAGCTAGAAGGCATTAAGTTATGGAAGGCTGCTGTTGAAGTTGGCTGAAACCAAAACTATCATCAGGATGTTTCCGAACTGTTTCTTACATTGCACATTGCTAAAAATGCAACCGTGTACATAGAGTGCTAGAGTTAATGACTTGAGATCTCTTGCTGTACAGTCTTGCTGCAATCTCTGATTTCCCCAAAACCCCCACCTTTCCCTGGCGTTCCATGGTTGGCATTTGTATGTATTGGTGTAGTAATTTGTGCAATAACTTAAAATGTCAGGTGAACCTCCTCTTAATTTAATCCCAAAAACAAGATATAGAAGTGCAGTCTTCCAGCAGGTGACCACACCTGTTGACCTTCTCTGTTCTGGGAAGCTAAGCAGGGTCATGCCTGATCAGTACTTGGATGGGAGATCTCCAGGGAATATCAGGGCTGTAGGCTAGTTTGGGAAGTCAGAAAAGCTTCCTGAAAGAACAGTGGCAAACCTTTTATTTTCTGAACTAAGGTTTAAAGGAATGGAAATGATAGGCCTGTAGCAGTGGAAGATACAGGATGTTAAAGGGTCAAGGCTTTGAGAAATGTAACTGGATTCTTAACCTTCTTCCTCTCCTTTCTCAGTTGGAATAACTGGTCAGTGGATTTTTTTCTTTTTCAGAGGAAGTTGGGTTGTGGGATATGAGATTCTTTCAGTTTCCTACTGTACATTTTTAACAGTTCACAAGAACTATGAGCTATATTCCTTGTTTTGTAAAATGGTACTGAATTTGAACCTACCGTGTCATCTCAGAATGAAACAATAAAGTAAGAGAAATGGAACAAAGCAGTCCAGCATCCTAAAAAGTGACTTAACTTTGCATTGACATTTATGTTTGCATTCTGGACAAAAATATGAGTTGCATCAGCTAGAGCTTTCTGTTTGATTTGCTTGTTTGTTTTTGTTTTCAGAGAACATACCTCTAAGATACCTTAACATTAGTAAATGCAGAAGACCTGAAGAGGAAGGCTTATTCTCCAATAAAACAACTGTCTTGGATGGAAAAAATAACCCTCAAAACAATTGCACAACATACAGCATTTGCTGTATGCCAAGATGAGTCCAATCGTGAGTGCAAGCAGGTTGGAAGATTTTGCAGGCAATAGGCTGAAAAGAGTTTTAAAGATCAGCTTACAAAGAGAGTCTGTAATGGGTATGACCAAGTTCATCCAAGTAAAAAAAGTCACAGGCTGATAGTACGCAACCCACTTTCAGATACTATTGACAGTCTTTAAATGACGGTGAAGGGATAAATTCATCCTGCTCTGAAAGTTTACACCAGTGTTTCTCCACCTTGGCAACTTTAAGATGCGTGGACTTGCTGGCTGGGAATTCTGGGAGTTGCAGTCCACACGTCTTAAAGTTGCCAAGGTTGAGAAACACTGGTTTAGACTAAGATTTGTGAAAGCATCACGTATTTCCCAGTTTACGCTAAACAAATATTTGGTGTGCTAGAGAGCGCCTAAGTTTTAGTTTTATGAAGTCCATAAAAAATGTAATGATCCTAAGTAATTAAAGAAGCTGTGAAATAAAATGGATTTTACAGAAATTACCAGGAGTAGAATTTAGATGTACTTTAGGAAGCTAAATCTTGAACTGTAAAGGTTGCTACAGGATTTAAACCACTGCAAGGAACTAGGAAGAGAAAATTCTTGAGAATTGTGAGAATAGTGTGGGTGCTTCTATCACTGCTGGCATAGGAAGTGGCCTGTTCTCCAAAGTTAGGCACAAAAACAACCTTTTTGGTTTTGTTCCTCCCCCCCCCCCCCCGCTCTCCCTTGATGTAAAGTACAAGCAAAACTCTGAGTAACCAAACCATAGGCACAATGAAACAGCAGTTCATACAGAAAGATAACTCCAGTATAATTTAAAACTACACGAGTGAAAAATATTGTGCCCCTGTTTTGTAAAACAAAAGGAGGGGACAATATTTTTTATTCATGTAATGACATAGTTTGTATGAAACAAACCTTGTTTTCCTCTAGCCACCAGAGGGTGTCTTTTTACCATCTAAAGGCATCCTCCAAGTCAATGTTTCTCAACCTCAGCAACTTTAAGATGTGTAGACTTCAACTCCCAGAATTTGTGGTAGTTGAAGCCCACCTATCCCAAAGTTGCCAAGTTTGAAAAACACTGGCCTAGAGTATAATTCTTTTTTTGGAAAGTAGCAGCTTAGATGCAGGATTGGGGTTTTCAAGGAAGGCCCTGAACTCACAGCAGAGAAATCATACAATCTTGTTTTAAATTTATCACTACTCTTGGGAACACCATGACCAGCTAACTGGCATAAGCCAATTGTATTAAAATGGGGCTGAGGATAAAATCAAGGTGGGTGGTAGAATCATAATGTAAGCATCATGCCTCAAATGGCATACAATACATAATTGTTAACAAGCCCCCTCTTCCTCATCTCCACCAACTCTCTCTCAATCTTATACAATGTGGTCTCCGCTATGGCCCTCAGTCTTTGTAGCTGTGGCACCTATTTAAATCACAGCTGTTCTATGTACACTTGAATGATGTGAAACAACTAATTTTTCATTGCAGATTCTGATTTCTGTGTTTTATTCCCTGGTTCATCCATGTTTTGTGCTGCTTGGGAAAAAGTGTGGTTTTGTCGTGACTGGTGGAGGCCAATCATGTATTAATATTGGTGTTCTGGCAAGGATCACACTGCCTAGATCCTGATGGCCTTACCCTTAATATAATTAGTACGATCAGCATCTCTTTTGCAGCTACTATTTTAGCCTGTTAAAAATCCTCTCCAGCTCTCACCACAGTCCCACATTGCCTTCTAATGGGCTGAGTTTTAGTTTGAGCCAAAGGCTTCCTGAACTTACCCAACCCACTCTGAAGTCTGACCGATGATTAAAAGGTATATCTCAAATTGGTTGTCGCTGTGCTTCCACTGCCTATGTTAGATTTCCCCTTGTCTGCAGTGAAACCATTGGAACCATTCATTTTCCAAGGTAGATTGTTAATACTGGGAGTATGATTTCAGTGCCTCTTTTACTAATATTTTAAACTAGAAGTGCAGCTGTATCATTATGTACATATCCTTCATACTCTTCCATCTTGGGGCAAGGACTATTTTACAGAGTGAAGAAAAGGAGTAAGAAGGAGGGAGATAAGAAGAGCAAACACAACTAAACCTAGGTTATGCCATCATTCGCTATACCTGTCCATTCTTTTTTATCCTTTCAAACAATCCTTGTTTCTACCATGCCCATACATTGCTTTAAACATTGCCTTTTGCTTTTTAACTTTTTCAGGATCTCATCAACCGCAACTTCCTCAGAAGAGAGACCCCATTCTCATTTCCTATATTTGGCAATTTGATCCTCCTTCATTCTCTTTGCTTGACTAAACTACCTCAAGGCACTTCATTTGTACCAGTCGTTCACCTGGTGTTCAGTCCACACTCAATCTCCATGCATTCATTCATTGTTGACCCTATCTCTTCTTGTCTTACCACGTACATTTTGTAAGTAACCCATTTCAGTTGCATTCAACTTCATATAGCCAAGGGAGCAGAAGTATGGTCTTAGGCATTTTAGCTTCTTTCAAACAGACATTAGTTCCTCCCAACAGGCCATGTATTACCCACTCCCTATCTGCCAGCATTTGAATGTCTTAAAAGGTCCCCATCCATTTTCCCCACCACACAGAACTATCCTGGTCTTTGATACATTAGTAGTCAGACTCATATTTCTCATTCCATCAGGCATGCTGCCTAAGATTTGTTGCAAGTCAAGTTCTCAGAGAAGCATCATCTGCATACAAAAATTCTCAGAGAAGCATCATCTGCATACAAAAGTACAAGTACATTAGGTCCTCAACCAGCCCATTTCTAACACCACAAGCTGTATACATTTATCAATAAATAAGTTAACCAAGAAGACATCATGCATCCTCGTTACTCAGCTCGGCATTGAAGCATTCAGTTTCTTCTTGCATATGTTTTATTCCCGTCTTATATAGCTGTTCAGAAACTAACCTTCCACTCCACTGTTTGTGCAAAAGATTCTGTAACTGAAGCCTATTTACATTATCATAGGCTTTGTCTAAATCAAGAAACAAAATTTCATTTTGCCTATGCAAACATTTCTCAGTATTGCCTGGCATTTGTCCACTTCATTTCCCAAATTTTGCTCATTGCTATCTCTTGCACCCTTTTGATCAGAATTCTGCTGAACACCTTCCCGGGTACATTTAACAAGCTAATCCCCTTGTAGATTTTGTACTCACTCTCACTAGCCTTCCCTTTATATAGGAAAGCAACAGCATTCTTTCAGTCATCAGATGTAATCTTCACGCATACATTAAACAAGTCACATAGCTATTCCATAAGTAGACAACATCCATTTTTTAACATCTCCCCAGTTTCCCTATCTACACCTTCATCTGTACCATTTTTCAACATTCACGCAGCAGTTATGACTTCTTTTTCAACATTTTTCCCCCTGAACACTAGCATCTGTATCACTCTTCTCTATTGTTCCTGTATAAAGTTCTAAAGTTCTCCTTCCAGCCTTCCCTCACCTCAAAATTCCTCCCAAACCATTTTATTACTTTTATCTTTAATTCCATCCACAGTGCTGGAGGCTTCTTGCTTAGCCTTTGTCACCCACTTACAAAACAAATCTGATGTATATCAAAATTGCTCTGCAGTTTCTCTTCTTCCTTCTTCCTCTTTTTGATTAGATGCTCTGCAGCTGTTTAACTCTTTGTATATATTACACAATAACTTTGCAGAAATCATTCTCTCATACAGATTTTCTTTCTCATCTACAGCCCCTTTCACTTCATTATTCTGCTAAACACCCTTTTTCATACTTCTCAGTAGCATAAAACCACCCACTTTGGTGGCAGTCTCTAACATGATTCTTTTCATTATGTTCTAAGCAGCTTCAACATCCTCTTTCCAGGTCTTTTATCCAGGGCTCATATGTTGTCTAACTGCAATTATTCTACTTCCACTCATTCCTTTTATTTCTCCCCTTCCATGCCCACTTTTTCCCAAGTTTCACACTTGACACTATCAAAGACTGGTCTTCCCTACATTTAGGATCTCTCATCACCCCTATTCTTCACTGGTTCAAACTTCCATCATCATAATAAAATAATAATAATTTATTAAATTTATATGCCACCCAACTCCCAGTGACTGTGGGGAGTTACCAAATCAAGCTGTTGGGTTTATATCCATTCCTTTTCCATATTTATGTATAATTAGACTTCTACTTAAACCATGTACAGGTAGTCCCCAGTTAAGAATGAGTTCCATTCCCATGGTCTGTCCTTAAGTCGAATTTGTATGTAAGCTGGAACAGTATTATTGTATGATACTGTATAAGTAGTATTGTGTAATGAACTCAAACCATTGTGTATTTAACATGAATCATTGTGTATTTAACTCAAATTTTGCTACATTAGGCTCCATTCTTAACTATTCCCAACTTAAATTGGGTGTTCTTAACCCGGGGACTCCCTGTATTTTGAAGCAAATGCCCCCCTGTCACCATTCTGATTCATTTTGAGGTCTCCAAATGCCTTATTTGCTGACTTTTTTTAACCCCAATGTTAGAGCCAGACTTCTGTGTGATTTCTTCCAACAAGCTTTAAACAGGAGCAAAAGGGCCAAAGGAAGCTTATAGGATCCCACCATCATCTCAGATCTTTCTACTAGGAATTACTAGAATCATTGGGATGAACAGTTACTGAATCCATATAATGTACTGATGTATGATTCTGACACTTCATCAGAATTAAAGCACATCTACTTACTCTCTGTTGCCCAAGATGAAAAACTCATCTTGCCAGCAAAGGCCAAAAACCAAGTTCTAATATGCCTCTAAAACAGATTTTAACCCACTGTGTCTCAAATCTTCAGTATAATTGCTTCCTCTAAAATTTTTTTTCCAGTATTGGAGGTTGCTAGTTGCCAGATAGGAAGTCTACTTCTAAGTTTTATTGTTGTGATAAGAGATGAATAATTGGAGGCTTCCTTACAACCAAACATTCCTGGGTTAAGTGTTAAACCAGCCAGATGGTCCCCATTGGGATTCATTATTAATAATTAATTCATTAATTATTAATGAATGTGCACAGATTGAAAAGTTTTCTTCACACTGTTAAGATGATCTCTCCAGCAAGAAGAGATGATGAAACAAAATCATTTTCATGAAACAAAATCATGAAGAATTCTTCCTGGATCAGACCAGTGATTCCAATTAACTAGACTTATCTGTCCTTTGGATTCTCCATAATTCTGTGCTTGGAACATTGTGATTTCATGATACCTCACCTGGAAGATTCTTGGGGTCTCTTCAAGATTACATGAAAAACCCAAACAAGGAATGATGTCCATTGTCCAATACATTTAGAATTCCAGGCACCATTACGGGTATCACCCCAATGCTCACCTCTTCTCACTAAACCATTCAAAATATATCTGGACCCTTCACATGTAGTCTTAATCTGGAAAAAGAAGTTGGCAGCCCTAAATAGCTACAATACAATCCAATTTATATCCAAGAACAGCCACTGAATCCATACATTGCCCATCCAGTTACTAATCACTGGTGCCCATTTGCCAACCCTACCACTTTCATTCACAACAGGTCCCCACCTCTACTTTATTCCAGGAGAAGAAAGGGAAAGATCCTCCTGCTTTTTCTTTCTTCTTTCTTTTCTATAGCACCAGATATGCAAGGGAGAAGGAATGTACCAGTATAATGAGAAGATAAGAGTTATTTATTATGTATGTTAACTCTTAAGGAACAAGTTCGGCATTAAAAGGACAATGGGCAAAGGAGAAATGAAATCAGAGCCTTGTGTATACATGTACATACACATACATACACACCCCAGCAAGCTAAAATAGTAAGAAAACACTCAGCTCAATCCATAATATAAATTAACAAAAGAATCCTAATTATATCTAGTTCCACGCTTTTCACAGATGACTAATTTCTCCTGATTCACCAATCCTCGTTCCAGAATTGGGGCAGTTGCTTCCAGCCAGGAGAGGTTCCCTCCCCTCCCAATGGAAGAGAAAGAAAATCAGCTCCTTCCCCCCTTTTGAAAACTGGAAAGAGAAGGAAAAAATTGGGAGAAAGGAGAAATCAGGGTTCCAAAGGATTGGGGTTATTTATTTATTTAGGGGCTGTTCTTGACCAAGGCTGCTCTAACCAGCCTACAAAAGCAATAGCCACAGCCAACACAATAATAACCATCAAATGCCATCACATTCCAGAAAAGCATAATTTATAATTACATTACTCACAATATATAATCAATTCCTCACAGTCACTCATGCCTTAGTCACCTCCTGTCTGGATTACTGCAACCCGCTCTATATGGGGCTGCCCTTGAAGACCATCCAGAAGCTGTAACTGGTCCAGAATGCAGTGGCATGTGCGATTTTGGGTGCTCTGCAGTCCACCCAAGTTACATGACTGCTGCGCAAACTGCACTAGCTCCTAGGTGCTTTCTGGGTGCAATTCAAGGTGCTGGTGACCACCTTTAAAGCCCTACATGGCACAGAGCCAGGTTATTTGCAGGACCCCCTCTCCCTGAGGCTATCTGCCCATCCTACTAGGTTACATAGTGTAATGGTATGTAGGAATGACCTTGGGAGAGAGGAGAAAGAGCCACAGCCAGGAGAACAGTCAGATAAGAGGCAACTTAGCCAGCAGCAGGAATGGGGTGTGGCAAACATCTCAGAAGGGACCCTCCCTAGTTTCTTGGACTGTAAAGGCGAGGGGGGAGAGAGGTATTTTCAGACTTGCAAGCGTCTGTTAATGTAACCTTACAATAAAGTTAGAGCTAGTACTTCTGGGTGTGCTTCTTGTCTGGACTACCTCGCAAGGCTGACAGGGTGGGCACATCCAGGTTCCCTCCCCCCTTAAATGTTGTCACCTGATGGGACCTTGGAGGCACATCTCGGGGGCTACCCCAGTCCTTTGGAATAGTCTCCCACCTGAGATTCAAGGGATCCCTTCCCTTTTAGCCTTCTGGAGGGCTGTGAAGACCTGGCTTTTTCCCCAAGCATTGGACTAAGATGGGGATTGAGCGGCGAGGATGATTGGTCTGGTGCCTGGGGGGAAGGGTACTTTTGCTTTTATGGCTGTTTTTATGGATTGTTGTGAGCTGTCTACAATCATTATATGAGACAGGCAGCCATATAAGTTCTGTAAATAAATAAATAAATGTTCACTTAAAAAATTAACAATTCAAATTACATTCTTGGCACCAGGAGCTTTATGGTACTCCCTCACCAAATCGGCCTTCTGGATTAACCAAGTTTTTAGGAGCTTCCAGCAGCTATGAGGGTGGAAGCCACCCTTGCCTTGGGAGGCCATCTGATGCAGAGGAGGGAAGTCCCCCCAGAGATCCCCCACTTTCAAGCATCTTCCTGCAGCCTCTCTTGCTAAGTGGGGATTGCGAGCAGGCACGCTCTGTGTCCTCGAACTGGACAGGCAGAAGCTCTACAGGGGCTTGAAAGAAGGCAGCCCTGAGCCATATAGGACCTTACAAGTAAGAAGCAGCTTTGGGTGTCATTGCAAGAGGCAAGAGACATGGGGATTCGGGGATCAAGCCCTATGCTTTAATGGAAAAGCCACAGCTCTGAGGCCTTCATTAATCCACTCAAGACCATGCTGTGAGAATGGTTGTGCGATGGTGGGTTGTAGCGGAGAGATGCTTTTCTTCTCTCCAGTAATGCACTGTGTTCTCTTCAGCCCAGACGCCAAAGCAAGCTTGAGATCGTTTTCCCAAAACTATCACAAGCCTGTCACTGAGAGAAGATGCCGGATAGCAGAAGGCCTATATTCTTGGTTCCTCTGCTGGCACCTCCTCCTTAGAAATCACTGTCTGGTGGCTGTGGGATGCAACATGCTGCAACAGAACTGATCTTAGCTTGTCCTTCTCCTTTAGAGGAAATCTGTGCTTGACCCTTGTTTCTAGTGGCTTCCAGCTAAGGTGGAGCAGCCCTTGAAGGCAAGGGGCAGGTCCTACTCCACCTCTCTGCTTAGGGACAGCCTCTTGCTCCCACCCTCCCCACCCACCCCTTGATCTTTTCTCCACCCTTCCAGTCGAAGTAAGCAGCCCGCGCTTATCTTCCGTGGAAGTGCTAACAAGATGTTTCTGGCAGGGAGCCGCACTCTGAGCAGCAAGGCAAACACGCTCATGGAAAGCCAGGCTTAGTAACTGCTTAGGAGCTTGCACTACGCAGCTGCCTCCCTTCACCAACGCTGCTTTCACGGACGGGCTGGGATGGAGAACTTGAGCACCATCTTCAAACAAAAAGCAACCGAGCAGCATCACAGAGCTGAAGTCATGATCGCAGGGGAACAGGTCCGGTACGTTGTGTGGTCAAGGCTCTCTTTCTCTGTTTCTCCCCTCTTCCTCTTGAAAAGGGTCCCATGTCTGGCAGCGTTAAACAAAGGACTTCCCAGGCTTAAAACTCCTTTGTCTCTGTCTTTGAAGCTAAAGAATGAAAAAAATGCAAACTTGCCTAATTTACGTTTGGAAGATGAGTGGTTGTAGATGAAGGGGGAAACCATGTCTCTGGTTTGATGCCACCTTGAGTTGTTCATATTCTAGTAGTTTACAGGAAAAGTCAATTTGCAAGGAATTGGGGGAATGCCAAAGGCAATGTGAAATGGTGAAAATGGGAAGAGGGTCTGCTCTTTTTAAAAGGAACTTTCTTTAAATTGGGCCCCCCCCCCCCCCAACTGCATTGGCCAACCTGTCTGGGAATGCTGGAGATTGTATTTCCAACATATTTGGGATCCAACAGACTGGGAAAGGCTTTTAAAGTTTGAAAAGTTCTAAAATACCCAGAGCAGGAGAAAGAAGCAATGTTAGTAGTGTACTTGACCTGGCATTCAGACCCCAAGGTAGATATGCCCTTGATTAAAAAAAAAAAAAATCTTACCAAAAGCATCCTCTTCACTTATTATTTGACCTAGTAATTTTCTAAGAAAAGTGTGTTTCTATAAGCAATCCTTGGTCATCTGCCATATGACCCACTTGGCTCTTGGTTCAAGCCTCCTGCAGAATAGATAAATCTGGGGACAATGAGAATTGATTAAAGTTCACATGCTGATTGATTTGTTCACCTAAATCTACTTTTCCTAGCTAGGAAAAATGATGAAATTAACATGGGAGGCAAGAAGCACCAGAAGGAGAAACAGAAAGAACAGAGAATGAAGAAAAACTTGGATATTTACTTACCAAAAGATCACATAACAATATTCTGAATCCCTTGTCACTGTTAAACCTAAGTTCTAAGTTTGAGTACAATGCTGGTCTAACAAGAATTGGGCTTAGCCATTAGAATAGTTCCAATTTATTTACTGCCACAATTTTATCATGGAGAATGGTCACATCAAACTGTCACGAAGTTTTCCATGCCAAAAGAGAGAAACATAAAATAAGGGCAGTTCTGGCATGTTTTTTGTGAAGACGGACAAAAATAAAATGTTAGGAAGGATGGTGGAAATCTGCATTATAATATGAGAACCTGCCTGCTAAGTGTCTGCAAATAATGAATTAGTAGGACAATAGCAGGAATTTAGAAGATTATGGAGAACCTCACCCAGTCCTTTCTGCCTTCAAAAATCTTTGCTGTGCCTTGGATTCTTTTTACAGTAGCTGCCTTTTGCTGAAATTCCCATCTTTTATTCTACTACTTTTTATGGAGAATCCATATGACATAGCTGTCCTGTAGGTTTTTTCTGCATTGTCCTTCTGTGTTTTTCAGACTTCTTCTGTGTGTTAATAATAACATGAGAACTCAAGACATCATGAATGATGGAGGTTTTTAGGATTTTTGCCCTTTAATCAAGAGCTTTCTCCTTTTATATTTACCTTATTTTATTGCTGCCCTTCATCAATTCCTCTTCAAAGGAATTTTCCCTGCAAAGAAAAGCAACTTTAATTACAAATTACCGTCCTTCTCTTTGGTTTTATTTTGTTTTGTAGTAAAGTCACCGCTTTACTCTAAAAAACCCTGCCATCTTCTGTCCTGAACACCACTGATAGAAACTAAGGAACGGTTAAGAGGCAATTTGTCATTAATCCTCAAGTCATGCTAAAATGCTGGAACAATAGAAATGATTATTATTTAAAATTCATACACTGGTTGAATAGGACTTTGGAGTCAATATTAGAATAGCATCTTGACCCCAAGAAAGAGCTTTACTATGTATAGTACCTTATCTGTAAGACTTTACCGAGACTGATTTCAAACTAGCCAGAGATTCAAGATCGTAGTTCTGATAAAATACTACAAAAGCTTTTAATAACAAGCTACTACAAGCTCTAGGATTCAGGCCCAAGTTTCGATTCCTATGCCTCTTTTCCCATTGGGACATTATAATGCACTGGAGCTCCTTGCACCTCGGAGGAAGAGGTGGATGTCCACCTTATTTCTTGAGATTGTAATGGACCAGCCTGGTCTCAGATCCTCTGCTTGTAATGGACCTTGTCAGCTCTTGCCTTCACTCTATCATACACTATCTGGAATCTTTAGTTTCCTTCTACTCCTGTTTATTTACTTTCTCTTATTTATCAAATGTGCACGCCACCCAACTCCCAACTATTTAATTTGAGCAAGCAATGCCTCCATAGCAGTTTTGCGTGCACAGTCTCAAAATATATGCATTGAACTTGAGAGTCAAAGGTCTAGCAGCCTGTTTCATGTCTTTAATGAAAGCTCCATTTCAAATTCCAGGCTTCGTGGAATCTGAAACCTACATTTTCAGGATTAGCTGAGAAAGATTCTAGGTTCCAACTCTTCCAAATAAAAATCATGGCCAGAGGCTCAGAGCCTCTCTGCTATGAAACTGTAGAGGAGCACAGAAATGTCCTTGGAGAAAGTATGCGGAGACCATTATCAAAACATGAGCTTGAGACCAGGAGCAAAACATGAACTCAGTCTGGGAAAACAAGAAAGCCTTGAGAGAAAATGAAATTACTGTGCCTTGACTCTCTTTGGTATAAGAGGGAGGGAAGGACCAGCACTGTCAGGGTTTCGAGTTTCTGCTATTATATCCTATTTCAATACAGTTCTAATATTTCTTGTGGTATCTATTTCCTAACCTGGCCTACCTTGCAGGGCCAACCACAATATTATTATGAGCAGGATGGAGTTCTTAAGTGCATGCAAAATGATATTGTGGGCACCTAGGCTGTCAACAGTTATTGCTGTTGAATGGTGCAATAATGACTCATAATTTTGTGGGAAGTAAGAATGCGCCGGGCAGAGTCAATGGAAGCATGCTTAGCACTATTTTAATGATGGTTGGCTCACGCTTTTGACAATGAAAAATGCATTCCATTTGCCAAAGTACTATTCCATTCCTTTTCCTTGGGTAGCAAATATGGAAACATTTTTTCGTTTTGGAAAGAGCTGCTAATATTGATTTCTTCGAAAGCTTCCTCCCAAAGGATGCGAAGCATGGTAAACAATATATTAAGCAGAAACTTGGCTTTCAGATTTAGGATTTCAAACCTTTCAGTTGATTGATCATGTGCCATCAAGGTGGAGTTGACTCTTAGTGGCCGTGTAGATTTTCTCCGTGACAACCCTTTCAAACCAAGTTATTAAAAAGGACTGTCCGCTATCTCAAAATGTTAACCGCAAGGAAGAAAATGGAAGAATAATGTTTGAAAATTTAAAAAAGTTTTTTTTAAAAAAATGGAAAAGGTTGGAACCCTGAGGGGTAGACACGCTTTT